CCCCAAAACCCCAAAACCCCAAAACCCCGTAAGGCTGGAGTAGTGAGCATTTTAATTGAGTTATAGTTGGAATAATTAAATGGAAAAAAGTGCAAATTAATTTGACATTCACCTTGGCGATGGCTCTCGCCAAGACACCAAATTATTTTCATAATTTCAACTTAGAATTCATGGTGAAGAACTAAGATGTCATTTAAGGAAGTAAATCTAAAGATTTGCCTATATGGTGTCAGCGAGATGGTTCAACGAGTGGGCTCAGTTTTCTAATTTCAATGATATAAATGATATGTTTTAGATCTCAGACTCTAATTAGAAGGTTAATATCAAGTATATTGATAACTGGGATTTGATGTAAAAATAATTGCAACTATCGTTTTAGGGAGCGAGATGATCAGGTGCTGAGAAATAGTGAAAATGGTTAAAACTAAGAGATAAATATAGGGTAAAATGAGAATATTTTTAGTTGGAGTGGCTATAAACTAAGAGATAACTTACAAGAGGGAGTTGACTACTATTTGCTCAACCAGATTTCATGGTAAGATATCCACTATTATTATGTATCATTGCCTTCTTACAACTATCTAAAGGAATACACTAGTATCTTATTATTCTGGAGGTCCTGAGATATGCTTGTTCATTTGCTAGGAAGCATTTGAATCTTACAATATGCTGCAGCTTTAGCTAAGCACTGGCTCAGGAACAGATTTTGGCTACATCGGAGGTTTTCCAGATCTGAATCCTATCTATATTAACATTGAGTACAATAATGATACTAAGTCGTTCAAATTTTGCTTGCCAGTTAGTAAACATGTTCCTGTTAGTATTTTCAAGCCATGGCTTCTTTCAAAATTAAGTTTTATCAGTGGTCGAGAATAATATAATCTTTCGTATCAAGGATAAAGAATTATGCCTCAGATGAATCTTAAAAATATTGGACTTAAAGATAATGCAACTATTCAAATAGTTAAAGCAGATGAGACCTAAAATTAAACCCGCTCAGTACAGATAGTTGAAAATGACTAAGGAAAAGTTTTTTAATTAGATTTGGATTTGAGGGAGGATATCAAGGAAAGGAGAAATAGATAAATGCATCTCAATCAGACAATCCCTAGAAACATTGATATTGATCCAATATATCAAGATGACCCAGAACTATACTAAGCTATGCTTCTCTCGATGAGTGTAAACATATAATTAACTGAATTATTTATAGGAGAATTAATAGAATGTAAATTTAGCTTAAAACATCAGCGATGATTACTTTAAACATACAGATGCACCAAAGATTACTGTTGAAGATTTTGACAAAAAAAACCCATCTAAGCCTTAAATCCCTTTTAAGACGAAATAGGAGGTATATGCAGAGATAAGAGAAAGGAAACTAGAGTAATTTGCTTTAGCTAGAGCAAGAGCTGCTGAGTGTTTGAATGATAGAAAGATTATCTTTAATAAGTTCCTTAGCTTCGAAGAAATAGGCAGAAATGTAGTTTAACTTTCTAAAAATAGAGTTCTTAACCCATAGTAAATGATGAAAAAACAAGTATCCTAATGCTCCGATTGTGAGTGATAGAGCCTATTCATAATGATTGATTTAATGTTAAAATTGGAGCTGAAATGAGTAAAGTAAGAGAGAAATTTAAATTATTTTTTAACTATTTCACATTCCTCATCCAAGGGGTTTTGGGGTTTTGGGGTTTTGGGG